TTGCTGATAACATTACACTACCAGTGCTGCCCAGGCACTATAACCTAGTGTGGATCCAGACCAGGGGTCTATCGCCACCCAAGGTTAGCCCTTGCCGCCAAAAAAGGTGAAAATGAATAAAAGCACAGTATAGAAAAGAGAAAGATAGGGAGGGGATAGTAGGAGTGGCGACTAGACTGAATCCTCCTGGCCGGGCCTTACCAGGACTCCCGTCTACAAGAAGCGGGAGCGAGGTGGTGTATTGCCTCACCCGGGGGCCCCGAAGGGTCCAAACCTACCCCGGGCTCGGCTCAACCACCAGGATTCCCTTTTCCCCGGACACGGGAAAGCCACGCGCAGCCAGACGTGGGCGGGCGAACCCGCATGGCTTGGGGCCCGTGGAGACGCCACTCTCCAAACACCTGCTTTCACAGGTGCCCCCGTGCGGGGACAATATATATATATATATATATATAGATTGGAAGTGATCAATATTATATAGAGACGTACTATCACTCCTGTCATATTGCGCGTACTGCATACAGGACTACCTTTACGTCCAGGTATTTATGCTGAAGGGAACTCAATCAGCCGCCTCGGTAGCTTCGAGGCAACTCTCCGACTTACGGATTCCCAGGTGGCGGGCTCGAATCCTGGGCGAGGTGCCCGCAATCTGAAGGAGGCTTATCGCAAAGAAGGCGCCATGTAACCGAGCTTTCGGTTGCATGTCAAAAGATCCCCTGATGGTCCAAAGTAATCCTATGTTCTCCGCTGGGGCGCGCCAGATTATCGTCTTTGGTTTGGCACGTAACAAACCCAAATTTTCCCTTTCGGATTTTTACCTAAATCAAACCACTAACGGTTACACACAAATAGCCAGCTATCGTTTAAAAAATATATACACATATTGTTATTTTCCTAGAAAACAGGAACGTTTCTCCTGCACATATGTGTTCCTGCTTCACCCTACTCACCTCGCATCATTTTTTAATGATTTTTTATAGCTAATTACGACCTCTATGAAACATCTATGATGCGCTTCTACACATTCTCACTTTTTAGACTCATCCTGATAAAATAAAAAGTAATATGCGAAAAAAAGCACGTTTTGAAACCCATTGCTTTTATGCGGTCAACCTTGGCGATTTCATGTTCGTGGCATGTAGCTTCGATAACGTCTCCCCAAATTCGCTCTAAATGTGTAGCATAAAATTTATAAACCTTCTTTGACATCACGTGACAGTGTGACGCAGTAGTGATACGTCAAGTCAGTTTACTTGATTACGCAGCATTGTAAAGTCACTTAACACCATGATTTCACGAGACACCGTGACATTACAGTGCAACCTGACGTGAACTGCTGTAATTAATTGGTTACATTACGTCAGATAATTTAATTAAGCGAGTAAAAAATTGGGGTAGGTGGTGACGCTCTATAATGTGTCATTGTAACGTCACTTGACATTAGGGCATCAAGCGACAACGTGACGCCACATTGTCACGTTAAGTGACCTAACGCCACGTCTCGTGCGTACGTGGCGTCATGTTTGGTGTCAAGCTGTCAAGCGACAGCAAGACATCAAATCGTCGCGAAAATCGATACTGACGGCTGAAAATTCTCGCGTGGGCTGCTAGCCAAGTAGAATAAACATAAAAAAACGCAGCTAGAGTCCATAGTGACGTTACAATATATTGTCCCGTTTGGGACGCTTCAGCGACGTCCCGTTCACACCTAACTGTCGTAAACGTCATACAGGACGTACTGGCAACGTCGGCCGCTGATGTTTTGTTGAACGTTGAGGACATATTTAAATTACGTTCCATTTTTGTCCTGTCATTGACGCCCTGGTGATGTCATGCCACAACTTTTGTTTTGTGTTTTTTTTAGCTTTTCCAGCTCCATCTACAGCCGCAGAATCACGTATAATACGCATTCACTGTCAAAAGCTTAATTATAGCTGTGGTCAAGGTGACACTGCTCATGATACGCAAGCAAAACTTAATTTTTGAGAGCTTGAGAAATTTATTTATTTATACATTAATTTATTTATTTCAATATACTATTAATTGCACATGGTATTACGCTAGGGAGGTCGTATACAAAACTCAATGTGCACTGAAGGGAAAGAAATAATATGAAGGCATGTTGGCAATATCATTCTTTTTACATGTGTTTGTTATAGTTTTGGTTTGTTTAAAATATTGTTATGGTTTTAATTTGCGAAGTCAAGCCAATGGAAGTGAAGCCCATGGCGTCTAGAACGGATCGAATTGTGTCATTCTTGTTTTTTGCACGCTCTTTGTCGTCTTGCCTAGGTCCCGGTACGCGCCACAGGCGCGTCGCCACACTATCCCCTCTCCAGGTCATTTCAGGCATGCATCATTTCCTAGGAGCATGCCTACTGCTCCGCGACCACCTGGCATTGCTTTAAGGTTCGGCTATTTCTCTTCGTGTTTTGTTACCTCACTTGCGCACAAACAGAAAATTCGCATCCACATCACAGTTCATCCACAACACCAACTTTCAGCACATCAGCACATTAGCGCTTTCGGTAGACCGGTGCGCAGTCTTGTTACGTGACTCTCAAAACAGATCTTGCTTTCTTTGGCACTGATGACGTACCCCAACGAAAATCGCACGGCGGCACACATTATATGGGAGCACAATTTCACTGCACACTTGCGCATTTTTGAACACTACTCTAAAAAATAAAATGCCCGGCAATGACGAAATCTGGTAGATACTGTCAACAGTTCCAACCGTTGAATGGTCCAGATGATCGCGGTCCAAAAAGCGTTCAAGTCTAGCCCGCTCCTTCGTGTCGTCAAAAAAAAAAAAAAAGCCGGCGTCAACGCGGCGCGAGAGAGAGGGGGAAGGCGGGCAGGGGACATGCCAGTGGCATCTCCATAGAGCCCCATGCAATGCGTCGGGAAAATGGGCAAGAAGAGGGCCAGAAAAAGGTGGGAGAAGATAGTGGCGACGAACAATCGACAAGCGTTAGTTCAGGTGCACGGAACCCAAAATATCCGGGTTCCGGGTTACCAAAATATTTCACTGAATTCTCCGCTGGCCCAGACACAACAGCTCTGGGTATCACCCGGTCCAGCTTTTTTCCGAAAGTCAGTCACTAGGACCGGCCTTCACGTTTACGGGGTCTACGAGGTAGGCTGCTATGTCGCCGTGATTTCTTCCAGTCTGCATACAGTGGAAGTGCTACGATTCGATTTCTCTTTAATGCTGTCCAGACTGAGTCGCTCAAGTAGCCCCTATAAAGAAGTCGGTGATCGCCAAAAACGCCGTCGTGTTCAGTCACGGCTCGCGGAGCTTTTTCAAGGCCATGACGCTTCACACGTTGAATCGTATTACTGCTCGGATCAAGGTGCCTGTGAGGATATGAATGACGCCCCCCCAGAAAAGAAGGGGCAGTGCAGATAATGCCGCGTAAAGTCCAGTCTTCGATCAAGGCCCGTCAGACGCCTCCGACGATCCCAGTCAAAAACGCCCAGCGGACGGGATCCAACTTCTCAAACCATTCCCGTGCACGCAGCGAGAGTACCAGCCACGTGCAGAGGGGTGGGTAAAGCACGCGCGTCAGCGGATTAATCAGAAGCAGAACAAGGTAAGCGGTGGAACATTCCGTGCAGCGGGTCATCGTCCCTTGTTCATTTCTTTACGTGAATTTGTTTGTTCTATATACTTCTGGCTACCACATCCAGGGACGTCATTTGGCGGCGCTCTATAGTGCATCTCGTCTCTGAAAATGCTACAATAAACAAATCGTACCAAACCTGTGTTTTAGTTATTTTCTTCGTACTTGCATGAGAGCAACTTGCATTTGCAATAATACTCACAAAGTAAATCTTTGTTTCTTTGAGTGTGTGGGCGGGGGGGAGGGGGGGGGGAGGTGGACACAACGTTTTCCCCACAACGCCTAGCGAACAAAATTTGGAATGGTTTCTCGACGTTCTATAAACGTCGTCGGTAGTCCGGATGTCGTAAACACACGTATCACAAACGTCGAAGGAGGACGCGACGGCCCACTGAGACGTGCATGTGACGTGTGACAAACGTCATTGGGAACGTTTTCACAACCTTCTGTGCACCTTTTCTCGCGGACATTTAAAGGTTTCATCGACGTCGAAGGAAGGTAACATCTGTGCCTTCGACGTTGTACGACATCACGTTACAGAAGTCTTCGACGTTCTTTCGACGTTTTCTTGACGTGTATGTGCTGCCTGGGTGGTCTTACGTTTTCATAGCGTCGTCACTCAACGGTCAACGCCAGACGTGCCACTTTGACTATACTCCATTGGTGCCATTAATCATAAGGACGGTAAGTAAAAAACCGCTGGAGCGGCGTTGGCGCTCTTCAAGCAAAGCCGGCATGGCCACATCAGGATGGCCGCGCAAGATGCCCATAAGTGGGTGCGCACCGCCATCTTGCAAGCACGACGCCTGTTCGCGCGTTAGGTGCGTACGTTCGCCATCTTCATAGCAATGTCCTATTAGGCGTAACGAAGTACAACGTTGATACAAAAAGCATACTTAGCTTCTGCTGTACATACTGCTGTACATACTGCTGTACATAAAGATCTAAAGTCATGCTTCATACCCTAACATTCCGTGATATAAGCGGCTTCCGCTTCAGCAAGACTTTGTAGCTCACCTCCACGCGTTGCTTGAAGACCATGCACCGAATATTAAGCGACAAATCAGCTGACGGTTTTTCAACTTCATGAACCCGCCGTCTTGTGAACCTCTCGCATTGGCACCCCACGTCGCGAAAACAAATGGACCATGTTCTCTCTCAACGTCGCGGTGCGGTCGCAGCACGCCAACAGACAACGGTCACGACGTAATAAACGCTCTTTGCTAACTTGACGCCTACATGCAGCGTGCGCACACATATATTAACACACAAAACAGCCAACACATTTACATGTTCCCCACTCGGTAAGCTTGCTAGGTGCAACTCTGGAACGTAGGAAAATTCGCAGACTAAATGCAAAATGCCATTTACCTGATCGAAATATATCATGAAGTTCTTTACGGAAAGCAGAAACTTCTCCTTTGAAATGGCCATACATCTCCATAAACGCCCGTGGGGGAAAGTTTTCTTTGTAAGCAGCCCTCACGGCTTGGGAGTCCATAGTTCCCAAAACTTTTGAACTGTAACTTCTGAAAACGAACACTTATAAGTTAAGATACACCCTTCTCGACTTCATAGTCTAGTACCTAGTGTGTATGCAAAGAGCCGTCAAAAGACAGGGGATGTCAGTAGAAAAGTTGACTCTGACATAAGCCACCACAAATATCGTGTATAACCTTAGACCAGTCTAGACATGTTCATACTGGTCTCAAATATACACGTACCGGCCACCTCCAAAGTTATACCGATCGCCGGTACGGGCTACCTTTCACCCGCTATCTGATATCGGCCGCCGACATGGGCTTACTTGTCGCCAGTTAAAAAAAATGTAGCCGACGCTGGTACATTATCAGCGACACTTCATATAGACAGGCGAACGGTGTCCACGTACCGGTACTATTAGAGAGTTTTAGAGAACCGTTTTTGCACATCCCATACGGTACGGTTTGCACATCCCATACGGTACCATTAAAGAGTCGAATATGCGCAGCTCGTGCCGGAGGGCCCGTCGTACCCTGTGGGATGTGCAAGAACGGTTCCCTAAAACTCTCTATTATCTTCGTACAAAAGTCCAATACGCAGCTTTAGTGAACCTGTTTCGCACATCCGATACAGTACGATGGGCCCTCCGGTACGAACTGCGCATATGCTACCGCAGAACACTCGCACATATGCAGTTCGTACCCGAGGGCCCATCGAACCGTATCGGAACTGCAAGAACGGTTCCCTAAAACTCTCTATTATCTTCGTACAAAAGTCCAATACGCAGCTTTAGTGAACCTGTTTCGCACATCCGATACAGTACGATGGGCCCTCCGGTACGAACTGCGCATATGCTACCGCAGAACACTCGCACATAGGCAGTTCGTACCCGAGGGCCCATCGAACCGTATCGAAACTGCAAGAACGGTTCCCTAAAACTCTCTATTATCTTCGTACAAAAGTCCAATACGCAGCTTTAGTGAACCTGTTTCGCACATCCGATACAGTACGATGGGCCCTCCGGTACGAACTGCGCATATGCTACCGCAGAACACTCGCACATATGCAGTTCGTACCCGAGGGCCCATCGAACCGTATCGGAACTGCAAGAACGGTTCCCTAAAACTCTCTATTATCTTCGTACAAAAGTCCAATACGCAGCTTTAGTGAACCTGTTTCGCACATCCGATACAGTACGATGGGCCCTCCGGTACGAACTGCGCATATGCTACCGCAGAACACTCGCACATATGCAGTTCGTACCCGAGGGCCCATCGAACCGTATCGGAACTGCAAGAACGGTTCCCTAAAACTCTCTATTATCTTCGTACAAAAGTCCAATACGCAGCTTTAGTGAACCTGTTTCGCACATCCGATACAGTACGATGGGCCCTCCGGTACGAACTGCGCATATGCTACCGCAGAACACTCGCACATATGCAGTTCGTACCCGAGGGCCCATCGAACCGTATCGGAACTGCAAGAACGGTTCCCTAAAACTCTCTATTATCTTCGTACAAAAGTCCAATACGCAGCTTTAGTGAACCTGTTTCGCACATCCGATACAGTACGATGGGCCCTCCGGTACGAACTGCGCATATGCTACCGCAGAACACTCGCACATATGCAGTTCGTACCCGAGGGCCCATCGAACCGTATCGGAACTGCAAGAACGGTTCCCTAAAACTCTCTATTATCTTCGTACAAAAGTCCAATACGCAGCTTTAGTGAACCTGTTTCGCACATCCGATACAGTACGATGGGCCCTCCGGTACGAACTGCGCATATGCTACCGCAGAACACTCGCACATATGCAGTTCGTACCCGAGGGCCCATCGAACCGTATCGGAACTGCAAGAACGGTTCCCTAAAACTCTCTATTATCTTCGTACAAAAGTCCAATACGCAGCTTTAGTGAACCTGTTTCGCACATCCGATACAGTACGATGGGCCCTCCGGTACGAACTGCGCATATGCTACCGCAGAACACTCGCACATATGCAGTTCGTACCCGAGGGCCCATCGAACCGTATCGGAACTGCAAGAACGGTTCCCTAAAACTCTCTATTATCTTCGTACAAAAGTCCAATACGCAGCTTTAGTGAACCTGTTTCGCACATCCGATACAGTACGATGGGCCCTCCGGTACGAACTGCGCATATGCTACCGCAGAACACTCGCACATATGCAGTTCGTACCCGAGGGCCCATCGAACCGTATCGGAACTGCAAGAACGGTTCCCTAAAACTCTCTATTATCCTCGTACAAAAGTCCAATACGCAGCTTTAGTGAACCTGTTTCGCACATCCGATACAGTACGATGGGCCCTCCGGTACGAACTGCGCATATGCTACCGCAGAACACTCGCACATATGCAGTTCGTACCCGAGGGCCCATCGAACCGTATCGGAACTGCAAGAACGGTTCCCTAAAACTCTCTATTATCTTCGTACAAAAGTCCAATACGCAGCTTTAGTGAACCTGTTTCGCACATCCGATACAGTACGATGGGCCCTCCGGTACGAACTGCGCATATGCTACCGCAGAACACTCGCACATATGCAGTTCGTACCCGAGGGCCCATCGAGCCGTATCGGAACTGCAAGAACGGTTCCCTAAAACTCTCTATTATCTTCGTACAAAAGTCCAATACGCAGCTTTAGTGAACCTGTTTCGCACATCCGATACAGTACGATGGGCCCTCCGGTACGAACTGCGCATATGCTACCGCAGAACACTCGCACATATGCAGTTCGTACCCGAGGGCCCATCGAACCGTATCGGAACTGCAAGAACGTTTCCCTAAAACTCTCAATTATCTTCGTACAAAAGTCCAATACGCAGCTTTAGTGAACCTGTTTCGCACATCCGATACAGTACGATGGGCCCTCCGGTACGAACTGCGCATATGCTACCGCAGAACACTCGCACATATGCAGTTCGTACCCGAGGGCCCATCGAACCGTATCGGAACTGCAAGAACGGTTCCCTAAAACTCTCTATTATCTTCGTACAAAAGTCCAATACGCAGCTTTAGTGAACCTGTTTCGCACATCCGATACAGTACGATGGGCCCTCCGGTACGAACTGCGCATATGCTACCGCAGAACACTCGCACATATGCAGTTCGTACCCGAGGGCCCATCGAACCGTATCGGAACTGCAAGAACGGTTCCCTAAAACTCTCTATTATCTTCGTACAAAAGTCCAATACGCAGCTTTAGTGAACCTGTTTCGCACATCCGATACAGTACGATGGGCCCTCCGGTACGAACTGCGCATATGCTACCGCAGAACACTCGCACATATGCAGTTCGTACCCGAGGGCCCATCGAACCGTATCGGAACTGCAAGAACGGTTCCCTAAAACTCTCTATTATCTTCGTACAAAAGTCCAATACGCAGCTTTAGTGAACCTGTTTCGCACATCCGATACAGTACGATGGGCCCTCCGGTACGAACTGCGCATATGCTACCGCAGAACACTCGCACATATGCAGTTCGTACCCGAGGGCCCATCGAACCGTATCGGAACTGCAAGAACGGTTCCCTAAAACTCTCTATTATCTTCGTACAAAAGTCCAATACGCAGCTTTAGTGAACCTGTTTCGCACATCCGATACAGTACGATGGGCCCTCCGGTACGAACTGCGCATATGCTACCGCAGAACACTCGCACATATGCAGTTCGTACCCGAGGGCCCATCGAACCGTATCGGAACTGCAAGAACGGTTCCCTAAAACTCTCTATTATCCTCGTACAAAAGTCCAATACGCAGCTTTAGTGAACCTGTTTCGCACATCCGATACAGTACGATGGGCCCTCCGGTACGAACTGCGCATATGCTACCGCAGAACACTCGCACATATGCAGTTCGTACCCGAGGGCCCATCGAACCGTATCGGAACTGCAAGAACGGTTCCCTAAAACTCTCTATTATCTTCGTACAAAAGTCCAATACGCAGCTTTAGTGAACCTGTTTCGCACATCCGATACAGTACGATGGGCCCTCCGGTACGAACTGCGCATATGCTACCGCAGAACACTCGCACATATGCAGTTCGTACCCGAGGGCCCATCGAGCCGTATCGGAACTGCAAGAACGGTTCCCTAAAACTCTCTATTATCTTCGTACAAAAGTCCAATACGCAGCTTTAGTGAACCTGTTTCGCACATCCGATACAGTACGATGGGCCCTCCGGTACGAACTGCGCATATGCTACCGCAGAACACTCGCACATATGCAGTTCGTACCCGAGGGCCCATCGAACCGTATCGGAACTGCAAGAACGTTTCCCTAAAACTCTCTATTATCTTCGTACAAAAGTCCAATACGCAGCTTTAGTGAACCTGTTTCGCACATCCGATACAGTACGATGGGCCCTCCGGTACGAACTGCGCATATGCTACCGCAGAACACTCGCACATATGCAGTTCGTACCCGAGGGCCCATCGAACCGTATCGGAACTGCAAGAACGGTTCCCTAAAACTCTCTATTATCTTCGTACAAAAGTCCAATACGCAGCTTTAGTGAACCTGTTTCGCACATCCGATACAGTACGATGGGCCCTCCGGTACGAACTGCGCATATGCTACCGCAGAACACTCGCACATATGCAGTTCGTACCCGAGGGCCCATCGAACCGTATCGGAACTGCAAGAACGGTTCCCTAAAACTCTCTATTATCTTCGTACAAAAGTCCAATACGCAGCTTTAGTGAACCTGTTTCGCACATCCGATACAGTACGATGGGCCCTCCGGTACGAACTGCGCATATGCTACCGCAGAACACTCGCACATATGCAGTTCGTACCCGAGGGCCCATCGAACCGTATCGGAACTGCAAGAACGGTTCCCTAAAACTCTCTATTATCTTCGTACAAAAGTCCAATACGCAGCTTTAGTGAACCTGTTTCGCACATCCGATACAGTACGATGGGCCCTCCGGTACGAACTGCGCATATGCTACCGCAGAACACTCGCACACATGCAGTTCGTACCCGAGGGCCCATCGAACCGTATCGGAACTGCAAGAACGGTTCCCTAAAACTCTCTATTATCTTCGTACAAAAGTCCAATACGCAGCTTTAGTGAACCTGTTTCGCACATCCGATACAGTACGATGGGCCCTCCGGTACGAACTGCGCATATGCTACCGCAGAACACTCGCACATATGCAGTTCGTACCCGAGGGCCCATCGAACCGTATCGGAACTGCAAGAACGGTTCCCTAAAACTCTCTATTATCTTCGTACAAAAGTCCAATACGCAGCTTTAGTGAACCTGTTTCGCACATCCGATACAGTACGATGGGCCCTCCGGTACGAACTGCGCATATGCTACCGCAGAACACTCGCACATATGCAGTTCGTACCCGAGGGCCCATCGAACCGTATCGGAACTGCAAGAACGGTTCCCTAAAACTCTCTATTATCTTCGTACAAAAGTCCAATACGCAGCTTTAGTGAACCTGTTTCGCACATCCGATACAGTACGATGGGCCCTCCGGTACGAACTGCGCATATGCTACCGCAGAACACTCGCACATATGCAGTTCGTACCCGAGGGCCCATCGAACCGTATCGGAACTGCAAGAACGGTTCCCTAAAACTCTCTATTATCTTCGTACAAAAGTCCAATACGCAGCTTTAGTGAACCTGTTTCGCACATCCGATACAGTACGATGGGCCCTCCGGTACGAACTGCGCATATGCTACCGCAGAACACTCGCACATATGCAGTTCGTACCCGAGGGCCCATCGAACCGTATCGGAACTGCAACAACGGTTCCCTAAAACTCTCTATTATCTTCGTACAAAAGTCCAATACGCAGCTTTAGTGAACCTGTTTCGCACATCCGATACAGTACGATGGGCCCTCCGGTACGAACTGCGCATATGCTACCGCAGAACACTCGCACATATGCAGTTCGTACCCGAGGGCCCATCGAACCGTATCGGAACTGCAAGAACGGTTCCCTAAAACTTCCTAACATCCCGTACTAGTGGCCGATAACCACGCAGCGGTGGGCTGAACTGGCGGTCCGGTATGCAATACGGGTATACCGGTATACCATTTTAAAATTTCATCGGAATTCGCTCCGCGGATATCTCACATTAAATGTCCGTTTGCATGGACTCTTAAGAGTTCCGAAATGCATAAGGTAACAAAACGAATGTATAGGCATGGTACACAAGGAACCCACACATGTAGTTTGCAACAAAAATATCACTACCTCTCCAAAATGTCAAACTAGGGGTGGGAGTTTTGATTTCCCGGTTTTTCCAGACGGGGTAAAAATACCGTACTTATTTAGGCCCCCACAGATGTTCGTTTTTTCAAAAATCTAGATTCAAAAAGATTTCGAGAAGAGTCCAGGTTCTGTGTATAATGTTCCGACAAAAATATGTTCGACTAAATAAACAATTTAATTCTCGATTTGCTATTTCTGACTTATTATCTGAACTTCGTGGTACGATGAAAAAAATTCCAACGCAATTATGTTACGGCAAGGAGTCGGATGTTAATGTCGGAAGGTAAGCTTGCGGTAGTATTGTATATTTTTTTTTATTTGTAGAGTAGATACGTGTGTAAAGTTTTAACATGTTGATCATCAAAAATTTCAATAAATTAAAAAAAAAAGTCCCGTCGTTGAAATTGACATATAACGTTAGCTATTACCCGCTCGGCGCTCCCGACCGGACGGGTGTTTTCACAAAGAAATACACGTGCGTGGAAAGTATATAGCGAATGTCTCTATACCCTGGCAACTCTTCAATTGTTTTGATATTCTGCAGCATACTAAGATTACAGCAAGAAGGGTGTGATTATATTTACAGAACTTACGCCTCGACCAAAATGGGGGAGACAAGAATTAGATAGAATTTTGCGCGGTGTACCTGTCCAATGCCATCATTATTAAAATAACAACGTAATTTGTAGGATTAGGCTTGATTTCAATTGAATTGAATCGAATATTTGTATGATACTGGAGGCTTGTGACCAAACCTGTCACAAGAAAAGCTTGACGCACGCACAAGCTCCCCGCATTGACATTTGTGCAGCACAGCCAAAAAAGAGGAATCTACATGGAGTCTAATTTCCAGGGCAAAAAACAAAACTTAGGAATAGAATTAGCAATAAGTGGAAGAAACAGCAACATTCAGTGAAATATTTAGCATGAGCAATAAAGTTAAAGTCAAACAGATTGGTATATCAAACACGCGACTGAAAGGAGATAAAAGCTTGAAATAAATATGAAAAAAACATAGCGCCGTCCACGGGCTACTAAACTCCTCAATCTGACATACACTTTTTTTATATAACAGAAGTTGTGTGGGGATTTGAAAGAGCCCCTTTGCCTTTTAATATTATATCCGGCAGTTTGATATTGTCGGTGTTTATTATATTTAGTAGTCTGGGCAGTTTCTTTTAAAACGTATATCTTGCACATTTTACTTTAATGTTGATAAGCCCAAACCTTTCTTTGTGAATTCTAGATTACTACTTAGGCGGCTTTACCTGGCAACGACATGCAAATAATTGAACCTGCTCGCTTTTAGGCTACTGTTTTCAAAGATTTAGGCCGGTACGCGTAGGTGTCAGAGATCTCTTTATACTTATTCATAAAATGATTGTACAAATAATGGTCATGTATGCCTAATGAGAACCAGTTTAGTTGCCAATCCAGCATGCCCATAGCATATATTAATCTAACAGGTCATTCTTTAATAATATTTATATACTCTTTTTGTAGGAAACACAAAAAGCATAAGAATAAGATAGCCTCCATAAAAGACAAACCTTCTGTAGGTGGAAAAAATCTATACTAACCCTAGTTGTTTGAGGTGGCGCTACAGGGCAAGAGGAGAACCGAACTTTATATTTTGTAATGTTTATATTACAAACATTATTTTTTAACCTGCATGAATTTGTCGTTGTAAGTTTTTAGTTGGCAAAATTAAGCAGAGTCACGGAAAGGCAACTAATGGCGGCCGAATCCACCATCTCGTGAGCACGCCACATGCTGTCGCGTGCTCACGGGATGTGTCTTCTTGAGTTAATAATATAATGAAAGCTAAACAAAAGGAAAGTCAAAGGATAGACATGAAGCGTTCATTATGTTTGTACCTTCTTCTTTAGTTCACTTCAAAACAATATTATCGGATGCTCCGATGAAGGGTTCTCGCAGACCTCCAGGCTGTTTTCTTAATTCTTTAGGTGTAGCTAGCGCGTCAGATTGCAAGGTTACCAAGTTTCCTTCAGTGCACTTCGCGTCTCCTTGCGGGCAAATGGCACAAGACGATTTTGATTGTGCATTCTTTGCAATTCACTTTCAATTCACCCTAATGTGACGGTAACCATGTTGCACCTCGGTGTTTGCCTCTACACAGTAACTTATTGGCCCTTTAGAGTGCTGCGTTTGCTTACAGAAATAAACAAAAATTAAGTGTTCTTACCTTGGCTTATGTGGAAGATACGTAAAACGGCGACTCCCAAATTTCATGGCAGCAGTAGTAACTTTCAGCACATTCTTCAGGGCAATCGTTTTCGAAAACATGCTGTACGTGGTAATTTATAAAATCAAATATATAGCTTTTCAGTAAATTCTAGCAGATCCCACAAATATAGTTATTACGCCTGTCATCGTCTCAACGCAAAAGACCAGACCACTGGCAGAACATGACAATAGGTTTCATTTTCCTTCGTAATTAATCGATACAAGGAATAATTATTAATTAAATAATTAATTTACCTCTCTCTCTATATGAAGGTTAACAGTGGAACAGAGCAGCAACAATACAACATGACGAGCCCCAGATGCAACGTGGCAATTGTCAAAAAGGTGAGACTGCTGAAGACATTCTACTCGTATGCAGGTGTTTTTTTTAATTAAAACACATCTTTAAAAGGGTTGACCCTTTACTTCAGTTTTCACTACAAAATTAGTGGATTCTAATGATCTTATATTCTCAGGATAGCTGTCGAGAGCAGCAAAAGTAACTAGAATATGCTACATTCAGGCCTATAAACATGCGGAATAATGGAGCTGTCACTAAAGAATTTAAAACAAATTACAACCCTAAAACTAGTAAAAGAACAAATATTTCTTGGAGTTTGGTTTCATAAAGAGCTCACGTGGAATGCACATGCCAGTCAACCGCAAACGTTACCACCCGGAGCTAGTAAAGGTATACGTAACGAATAACAAACTTAAATCCGCTCTGGCTAAAAAAAAGGATTGCATGATTCCTTGTTCTATTACCACCTTTCTCATGACATTATGGTCTGTGGCACGACAACGACGAGAAACTATCAATTATCGGTGTTACAGAATAAACTTCTACGTATGTATGCTGACTATCACGAAAACATACAGCACTTTTAATGTGAGCCGTATTATGTAATACACAATATGCTGAAAGCGGACCAGGTTTTAATATTTTCCATATGCAAAATGTGTTCATAAAAATAAGCTCTACGTAGAGTTCAGTAAAACTAGTGACGACAAAGTTTACACTTTAAGGCATACGAAAAGTCCAATGCCTAGGATTCGAGCGAATTCTGTCATGCAAACCTAAACTACCAAATAACCGGTCATCTTGATATCTTGGAATGAGAATGTAATTAGTCAGACTGTTTTCTAAAAATAAAACTAATGTGAAACGTGTTCTCATAAGTAAAATAGGGCTTTTAAACGTCGATAGGTTCGGAATCAGCATTATATCGAGTAATTAGATGCACCCTGTGAAGACTCTCGTTATGTTGTTGATTTTATATATAAGGCGTGCACGAAATAGAATGTGTTGCTTCGTTTGAGACGTTGCCTGTTATTTTTTTGTCTTAGAAATATGTTGGTAAATTTCCCGCTACATTTTGCGGGGATATTTCCTACATAAATTTAGCGGGGAAAGTCTCGCTTAAATTGGTGGGAAATTTAACGAACATTTTTCGCTAAATGGGAGGAGAGCAGGAGAGGAGGGACGGTTACGGAGGGGAGGAGAGGCATACCTTCCCCTCCGCATCCTCCACTCCTCCTCCTCAAAAGCTGCGCTGTAATTCTTCCTTACAGAGAATTGTAAACATCTTTCATTTTCTTTTTACCCTCTTGTTCTATTGTATCTTCTTGTGGCGGGGTTTTGTCGCTTCTGGTGATTGTAGCGACGGCGTTTGAGGCGACATATATAAGGACTCTTCGAAATAAACATTGTAGCTGAATTTAAGATGTTGCCTCTGCTTTTTTGTCGTTCTTTGCGTTTTCCTTTTCCTACCCATGTCTCAGGTTTACCATCACGCTCAATTCTGAACTTTGTCTTTTGCATCCTAGGGTAGTATGGAATAATAATACGATTTAAACTGAGCTCGGATATCTTGTTTGAACCTCGCCGATAAATGGTCTTCTGGAGATATTGTACTTTGTACTTTCGCTTTGGAATCAAAAAGAAGCTGAACGTAGAGCCTAGGTTCGTTAAAGTCATTTGCGAATCAGGATCATGTCACTTGGTTCATTTTATAGGTGCATAATTTGATTTCGAACGCCGAAATCTATTTTCAATGATGATCTGCTAATCATGTGATACCACCAGAAGCAGGAAACTGCCGGCTGCAACATTCAGCACAGTCCTGTTGTTTTGGATTACCCCAACTAACTATATTTTCGGAATAACCTGGATTTATTCTTTCCGGTATGCTATCTATACTTCGTTTCAGCTTCGATCCGAGCGCGGTCGATGTTTTGAGCAGAAGGGCCAATCAAACAGCACAAAAAGCGAAACGTCATGGCGTGCTTTCTGCAGTTGATAGGACCAGCCGGTATTCGCAGTGTCTCTGTGCGCGCTCCTCCGCCGGCTAGTCCTATCAAGAGCAGAGAGCACGCTATGACGCTGCGTTTTTGGCGCTCTTTGATTGGCAATTCGGCTCATAACATCGGCCGCGCTCGGACCGAAGCTGAAACGAAGTATAGTATCCCAAGATTCATAATAGTTCTTGTAAAATCAGCAAGTGAAAATAATGTCGGGACCAACATTCAGATATACCCACGCTTCTCATTTCGTGACGTCAGGAGAAGGCAGCCTTACCATTCGAGCGGGCAGTCTAAAAATATATTGTGCCGAACATTTGTTTGGCGCTGCTGCGCCGGTGCTGGAGCGAGTCTTCAAAGTATTCTTTTGACTGCATGAAATTGTTTTAATCAGATGGCAAGAAAGTCTACAGTCCAAAGAGTGAACCACTGCCTACGCCTGGCGTCACTTTTTTTCATTGTTGCCAGTGCAGACTTTCACTTTAACAACCGCGGAAAGGAATAACGTTTTAATTTCAATATCTTCGCAAAAAAAAAATATTTTCCCAATATTTGGAGTACTATTTTAACGATATTTGTTGGATTTTCAAACAAATTCGAGAACATCAGGGACTACGCAAGAAACTACGGATAACCCCTTTAAGATAACACTATCCGCTGCATCAGAAATCAAGATAGATAACAAGGGTCTCTTTGTCGTCTCAAAATACTTTCGGACAACGAGTTAGCCCATGGGTGGTAAGCAGCAGTTAACACTGCGTTCAGCTTTTTGCTTTGCAATTTTCAGTCACTCTCTTCATTGATGTCTTTGATGTTGCAAAATCTCGTTCCCTAAGTGAACTGACTTAGCCTGTGCCCTTCCGGCCAGTCTTGTCGGCTGCTTTTCGTGTATATTTTCAATGACAACGAGGAATACGCACCAGTGTGCGTTCTTATATGATCCCATGATATAAAGTTGTTTAAGAACGTTTAGTTCCCAGTACACTCTGCGAGGTAATATAATGCGAGGGTGCAAACAGAATACTACTGCTGAATCTTATAAAAAGCGAAGCTGCTTCTGTTGTGCCGACGCCATACTAGTTTTTGCTACCAATTTCACCCTCATGAAAGCCAGCGCAGTGCGTCTCTTTCAAAACCACAATATGGATCTGTTCAGAGAGTGCTCAAAGTTAACGAATTGTGTTGATTTTATTCTGGGTAGTGCAACGTGTAAATTGGGAGGGTTTTTTCACGCTTTTCTTTAAACTTCGTGAACCATTCTGGCTTGATTAACTTGAGCATGTCGATTTTGCTTGGGACTCACATACTGAGCACACTATTAACGAATTACAAGGAATTCAAAACAAAGCTTTACGAATTCTTATGAACTAGTGTAATAAAAAAAAGTATATTTCAGAGTTTTATGTCCATACCGGTCGGCCCTTTTTAGAGGAACGTAGAAACACCGGACGACTGAATTAAGTTCCTTCTTAATCTAATAAAGGTAACAATAGTTTGGAACATTCAAACTACTTTCTTTTATTATTTTGCGCGGAATAATAACGTGCGGAACGAGTTTTTATAAATATCTTTTTTTCACGTTCTGATCATGAATTGTAACTCGCTTCCCTGAACAGTTGACTCTTCATATTGCGTGTCTTATTGAACCCATATAGAACCTGTTAAACCTTATACCTATTGAACGAGCTGCAAACATGATAATATTTAACTAAAATATTAAGGAGGGCTAGTTGGATACTTGACCTTCGCGCTATTTATTTCGAAGATGATATTTAAGCTTGTTAAATACATGACTGTGTATTTTTACCCTTCGGCATTGTGATCTTTTTGTTTGGTTTAGTACACATACAAAAGGATAAAGCCGGGTTTGCCGACGCTTTGTTCAGAATCCTGTTTGTTTTATAAAAGTGTGGCGTTGTGCACCAATTATGGGCACACTGGTACCCCAATTTTGTATTTATTTTTAAAGCGATAGCATTCTTTGGCTTGCTCCTCCTCCCCTCCCGCTTTCCCCGATTTCGTTGACTTTTCTGGCCTCCTGCGCTAAATTCCGGCTAAATTTAGCGGAAAAATTGACACCACGTGACATGTGTCACAATTCAGTTTCCTCCCTTTAATTGGCGAGCAAATTTATGGCACCTAACATGACGTCACGAGACCCACGAAAAAAAAAATTACGTTCCCCTCTAAATTTAGCGAAAATATTTACCTCGCGTTACGTATGCCTGAATTTAGTTTCCCCGCTAAATTTTGCGAAAAAATGGACCTCACGTGAGGTATGCACCAATTCAGTTTCCCCGCTAATGTTCATGAGTATAAAGATCGTACTTTTTTTTTCGTTTCCTGCTAAGTATTATCGTAGGTCTTTCACTCCTTTGTTTTTTTTTTGGTGTAAATCTGTGTCACGTCCATAATTGTAAGCGTTAAGGTAGATAGCGGCATCTGCAGATTCTTCATCAAATGTTTCCGGCTTTTTTAGTTCCTTATGGAGGTGTTTTCCTCGGATCATTTCCAGTATGGCTCCAAGCAATTGCATGGTTTGTTCACGCTGTAGCAGTTGCGTACGAATGAGCTGCCTGTAAAGTAACATTTCACTTTACTCGGTCACGGCCACTTAACAGGGAGTTTTTCAAGATTTCTCTAATGAACGTCAATATCGTACAGCGTGTTGATATTTACTGTGCGTCTTCGTACCAGCTCTTCAAGAGCCAATTGGTGGACCCCGTGGCTCAGCAAAGCTAGTTTCGTGTTATCGATTT